TTCTAGAAATCTTGAAGGGCCATGACTACCTCTAAAATGCAGGGTAGGAAAACAGAGAGTGAAGATTTCATCACAGGGACACCTTATATTTATCAAATAATTTGGGGACAGTGAAATAGCTTAATATATATGTATATGTCCCATTTGAATATATATATATATATATATATATGTCCCATATTAACTTCCCTTGAAAAGCATAGCCACATTAAAATACATCTGCCTACTCTGGCTTTTAACCCCAGGATGACTGTGCTGAAAGATAATCAGAGCTCATCATGCTTTGAAAGTAGAACAAATACAAATATTTACTGACATATTGGAGATGAAGTGCCAGAAGAAAAAAATCAAAGATGATCACTGCATGTGTTTGAACTTGGAAAAGACAGAATTTAGAACGATGTTTATTGGGAGAGGGAAGCCAACAGAAAGAAAATTTGAAAGACAGCTGAGAATCTGGACTTTAATTAGAATTTTGAGACGTCCAACTGAAAATGTACCTTAAGTGTCTGTGAATGTGCAATTCTGAAATTCAAGGAACCAGTCTGAACTGGAGGTACAGAATTGGGACACAGAGCAATCATTAGACAATATTGTATATAAATGAAAGCAGGCTGGGCCTTGGAAGCTATACACTATTGAGAAGTGAAAAGAAAAAAAAAAGGAACTAGCAGGACCCCTGGGAAGGGGCAACTAACTCCATAGGAAATGAACTCTGAGTGATGTCCCAGAGACAAGACACTATTTGTAAAAAACACCTTTGCAGAAGGTTTTGAAACGTAACATTAATGTGTTGAATAAAGAAAATTTTTGTTTCATGGAAGACTAATATTAAATGATTCACATATTTTCAGGAAGAGATTCACAATCTCATTGAGCAAGTCAAGATTTGGAAAGTTATTTGTACAGGGGTAAATACACTGTATTAAATAGGTAAGGTCTTATCTACGTGGGTTTGATTGGGGAAACTAATAAAGTATTTTCTAAATAATTTGTAAAGGGTTTGGAAAGTTAATGGTTCACAAAATAAAAACTTTACAAAACAAATTATAAAAGAAAATAGGGGAGACACCAGTGCCTTAACCTGGGAAGCTGAGATTTGAGAATGCACAGTTTGGAGCCAGTCCTGGTAAACTAATCTGAAAATCACTAATCTCGAAGAAAACAGGAAAAAGGTGGAAGTGGAGGCATGGCTCAAGTGGTACAGTGTCAGCCCTCAACTGAAAAGCCAAGTAAGAGAAGAGCAGCAGCAAGAGGTCTTGAGTTGAACCCTAGCACAGGAGGGGAGAATAGGAGCAGTGGAGGGGGAATGTTGTCCCTTGCTGCCCCTGCTGGTCACCATTATGAACAGCAAAACCTAGGGAGAATTTATTTTACATCATTTCTTTTATTATTATTATTATTAAATTTTTTATTATAAAAATACCGTACAGAGGCGTTACAATTACATGAACAAAGTAATGAGTACATTGCTTATCAAGCATTGTTGCCTCCTCCTTTGTTTCCCATTACCATTCCTGCCCTCCCAGCTCCCTGCCTCCCTCCACCGCCACACCCCACCAAAGTTCTAAAGTTCCTTCTCTTTTCTTTTTTTTTTGTTGAGAAAATACCATATAGAGGGGTTAAAATTACATTAGCAAGATACATTTCCCATCAAGCATTGTTGCCTCCTCCTTTGTTTTCCCTTCCCATCCCTTCCCATCCTCCCCCCACCACCTCTCACCCACCCACACATTCCCCCACCCCACCCCGTTCCTGCCAAAGTTGTAAAGTTTGTTTTTCGACAAAAGGACTTGCACATATCATTGCTGCAATGGGTCAACCTGTATACCTATTTAAACGATTTTTTTCCCTTCCCCTCCTCAAATTATACCAACATCAAATACAGTGAAAACAGGGGTTATACCGTGGCGGAGGGACATACAAAACAACAAAAAAAAATCATCTTATAAATAAGTTAGAAACAATAGCAAGAAAGAAAAACCGTTTGAGTTCTTATCTTGGGGTTCAGAGAATTATTGTTCCCCATCTTTTCTTTTTCAAATACCTTGTATATTTTGCCCTTCATAAGTTATTTAGCACAATAACTGAGTTCAGCAACTCAGAGTATCAAATCTGTGAAGGACCGTCCCATCATTTCCATATAATAAAACAAGTCCACTCAGAAAATTTGCCTAGTTCATCAAACTTGATTTCTAGTGCTCTTCCCATCATTTGGATCCACCATCCACCACCTGCTTCCACCTACAGTCACAGACTTCTCAGAAGCCATGCTATACATGTCGAGTACTCTAGGGGTTTCACTGCAAGCTGATGGCATAGCTGTCATCCAGAAACTACACACAGTATCAGAAGCACAACAAAACAAAGGCTTCAAATCAAATTATAGTCAAACACCATAGACCCACAAAACACTCGCGAATGACTTTCTTGTTTTCTTTTCTTATATTGGTTTTGTTTGCTTGATTATTTTTAACAGAACTCATCGTATAGCTTAGGCTGCTCATGAATTTCAGATCTCCCTGAGTGCTGATATAATAGTCATGAACCATTCTACAGCATCCACTGACATTTCCTTATTCATCAATCACAAACCTATATTGAATGCAAGGAAAATGTACAACTCACCTCAACTAGTCTAGCCCTCATACCAGAGACTACAAAAGTAAATATGATTTTCAAATACCTGAGACTTCTATCTTCACCATTTCCATGACACAGACCCTGTAAAAAGTATCCTGAGGATGTAAGATTTCTAAATATTATTTTTAAAAAGGTCTTATATTTTGCCTGGATTGATATGAACTGTAATCCTCTTATTTATACCACCCATAAAGCTAAGATGACACAAATGAGCCCCCATAGGTTGACTGTGAAGAAGGTCATGGTCTGTCCATTTTGTCTTTATGGCTATGTTCCATGGGCAGATGTCAGCTATAAACATAACTGCTTTGCACAATGTTTAGAGACTCTTCTTTCTCTTCTGGAGAAAGCCATCCACAGAGTTACTTCTGCACTAAAAGGAAATATGACAGACTCCATAATTGTTCCATCCTCCTACAAATCACAACACAAATTGCTCTCTGAAAGCTCTAAAAGCAGGAAGTTAGGAATTAATGTCCTCCCAGCTCTGACCCAACACTGTCACCACAATGACCATCTTGGAAGCCCAGTCTTTGATTCAAATTGCCCTGAGACAATAAAGGACTGCATTCCACGATTTTTTTTAAATGAGTCTCTTTTTCAAATCTGGTAACTGCCTAATATCCATGACAATGGAAAGGACTGGCCTGTGGGAAGGATTTTTCTAAGTTCATTCATAGGAGGAAAAAATACATCTGATGAAATCAAGATGTTCTTCTCTTAAGAAATATTTTTAATTAGGCACCAGTAGCTCATACCTGTAATCCTTGCTTCTCAGGAAGCTGAGATCTGAGGAATATGCTTGTAAGCCAGCCCAGGCAGCAAAGTCCATGAGACTCTTATCTCTAATTCACCAGGCAAAAGCCAGAAATGGAGGTATAGCTCCATGGGTTCAGTGCCAACCATGAATGAAAAAGCTAAGAGGCAGCACACAGGCCCTGAGTTCAAGCTCCAGTACTGGCACAATAAGTAAAAATAAATAAGAAATATTTTTATTAGGTATCAGTGGCTCCTAACTACACATACAGCTGAGATCCAGAGAACTGTGATTCTAAACCTGCCTGGCCTGAAAATTATATGAGACTCCATCTCCAAAATAGGAGCATAAAGCAGGAAGTAAGGCATTGCTGAAGTGGTACAGTGTCTCCATAGCAAGTTTAAATCCCCTCAAACCATGTACTACCAAAATAGTGGGGGAGGAGGGATATTTTTATGAATCTGATATATCTAGCAATAAGTATGACAGAATGATTGCCAATTTGTAAATCTATTTCCCACTAATTTTTATTTACTATTACACAATAATTTTCATCCTTTGCTCTTGTATTGAACTGGGAAATTGGCTATTTAGCTGAAACAGAAATTCTTATTTTCCTCATGCCAAGTTCTCTTCACATGAGCATCACAGAGTTCTATTCACTAGGTCCAAAGAAAAGCTCTTGCCAACCTTTCTTTCTAATGTTTGTCTACTTGGCAACTATCAGCATAGCTCTAGTCTATGCTGGCAATGGTAGGAAACTGAAGGGCAATACTTGGGAGGGCAAAGTTGCTTATCTACTTAGTAGGAAGGAACCACACAGGCACTGCTCCCCACCAAGAGACCAGTCTCCACACCTGCACTGCATTGGGTCTCTTTGCTGTCTTAGAGAGGTTGGTCCATATATACCTTCTCTCCTTCTTCTTCCCCAACAAACCCATCCAAATGTTCCACATGGCCTCCTATTGCCCACTGAGGCACACAGCAAGCAATTTATCTTTGCTGGCCTCTTTTCAATACAGATATTGTTTAACTCAACTAAGATGCCTCCTTCCATGCCCCTTAAGTCTTTCCATATTGCTGCACCCAACATACAATTTGCATAGTGCTACCTAGGGAGGAGACTCGTTGCTAAGTTTAACTTCTCACACTAAGTTCATTGATCAGGACTCCTCATTTCAGTGTCTCAAGATGAGGTGCCCTGCTCAGCTGCTGGGGCTGCTGATGCTCTGGATCCCTGGCAAGGACGCAGAGAGATGAAAGAAAGGAGGGAGGAGATCGGTTTTCAGGTGGGGTCTGGTACATCACTGCTGCTTTGTGTTCTGCCCACATGTGAAGTGTGTGCATCTCATACTTCAGGACTGCAGGTGCTGGTTAGAGCTATGTGGGCTGGTTAGAGACATAGATGCTGCTGAAAATTATTCTATAGAATGAGATAGCAAACAAAAAGACCTCTGTTTACAAATGTTAATTTCCTGCTGTGAAATTGAATATTTACAATCCAAATAAAATTTCAAATAATAATTTAGTACAATGGAGAAAACTTATGAAACTAGCTAAAAACTTTTATGTGACTCCAACTTAACTTCCTTCTTTCTAGGATCTAGTGGAGATGTTGTGATGACACAGACTCCACTCTCCCTGTCCTTCAACCCTGAAGAGCCAGCCTCCATCTCCTGCAAGTCCAATGAGATCCTCCTGCATAGCAATGGAAACACATACTTGAATTGGTACCTGCAGAAGCCAAGCCATTCTCCACATCTCCTGATCTATACGGTTTCTAACCGATTTACTGGGGTCCCTGACAGGTTCAGTGGCAGTGAGGTGAAGCCTGAGGATGCAGGGGTTTATTACAACGAGCAAGGTACAAAATGCCTTAACACTGTGTTACAGCCCAGAGCAAAATCCTCCCTGCATGGGGCAGCCCACCTGTGCCCATGTGCTCCTTGCCTGGGAACCAGCAGAGCAGATTCTCTGAGTCTGTGTGCAAGGACAAGGTTGGGCAACTCAGAGCCACAAACTGCAGCTGAGGTCGCTGTCCCATGGGGGCCTCAGATACACTCAACATAGCCCTATTCATGGTCAGCTGCAACACACTCCACATAGCATTTGTGACAAAATGTACACATGCTATATGTTACTTCTAAGTAAATAGACAAGACTAATTCAAAAGAAGGTTCCAGAAAGGTTGAAGACCTCTTTTTTTATGAAAACTTTCTCACAGAAATAGGAAGGTGGCATACATGACTTCTAGAGGGGACTTTGTGCCTTGCCAATTCCATCCTTTTTTCAAATTTAAATAGAAACTAAATCACAAACACACACAAATGACATTACTTGGGAAAAGTAAGAGAAGGAAAATCATGAAAATGGCTTATAATGGTTGCCCTTAAACTTAGAGTTCTCATTATTTCAGGATCCAGTGGGAATAATGTGACACTACAGACCCTGCTCTTCCTATCCATCACACCTGGAGGGCTGGCCTGCATCACTAGAAAACTCACAGAGGGCCTCTCAGAGTGGGTTCATACCAGTAATAGCAGCTACATTGGTGGCTGAGATTAAGAGGATTGCAGTTAAAGTCCAACCCAGGCAAAAGGTTAGCAAGACTCCATCTGAGCAAACAAAATGTTTGGATGGCACACATCAGTATTTTCAGCTATGCAGGAAGCTGCAGGTAGGAGGATCTTCTACAACACTGAGCAATAATGAAAAATTTTACCTAACAATTAACGGAAGCAGAAAAGGACTTGAAGGTAGCTTGGATCAAGTGGTAGAGTGTCCAGCAAGCAGCAGGCACTGAGATCAAAACTCAGTATCAAGGGGGAAGCAATGACAATAGAAGTGAAGACATCCCTTCTAGATGGTACTTTCCATCACTGCACATTCCATGGGAAGGGTTGCCTACCACCAACTCCTTTGAACTGTCACTGACTGGCACCTTAGATACAATCACAGGTTACCAATCCATCATGAGGGCACAAGCAAGCTTGAAAAAGGTGTCTGTGCCCTCATCATACACTGTGGATGACATGTTAGAGAATGACATGCATGACAGATCTTACGGCCCTGATGGCCAGAAGTACCACAGAAGGCAAAACTCAAGGTGGAAGGTCAGCAGGAATGCTCTCAAGACATAGGACCCAAGCACATCAAAATAGCATCAATGCCTCATTCAAGGAAGAGGACCCACAATGTTGAAGAGAAAAAAAAGGGGGCAGAAGAAAATACTATTTGCAAAACAAATAAAATAAAAATCATAGCTTCCACTGTTATATGAGTGGTGCTGATAGAAAGATTGTGTTTCCTCAATTAGAAAGGAAGATATGGAGACATGCACGCTGGAATGTGTAAATGAATAGTTTCCTGTAAACACTGGCTGCCCAGAGAACAGGAAGAAAACCTTGTGGAGTTTAGGATGAGTAAGTGGCCAAGGGGGATGACTTAGACCTCTAATCCTAGCCTTTGGAGGTGGAGATCAGGAGAATTATGATTCAAACACAGGATAGGCAAAAAGTTCATTTTCACCAGCAGTTTTTAAGAGATTATTGTTGCTGCTGCTCTTCTTGATGGTGGCTTATTCTACTTGGTTGAGAAGAGCCAAGGCCTTTGTGGGACAGAGAACTCAGCTGCAGCTTGATATTGTGAGTTCCCCAAGCTTGTCCTCACACAGGCTCAGAGTATCTGCTCTGCTGGTCCCCAGACAAGAAGCACATGGGGACAGCTTGGACACCATTCACAGGGAGGTTTTGCCTTGGGCTGTACCACAGGTGTAAGATATTTTGTACTTTGGAAGCAATAGTAAACAGCATCCTCAGAGGGGTAGACATTGCTGATTTTCAGAATAAAATCTGTGTCTGACCTGTGTGAGACTCAAGAGGCCTTTGGGAAGTGTTATAATTTGTTTGCCATAGAGCTTGGCCTGGATGAACATGAAATTGTGTCATTTACAAAGAATTGGGTAAATCTGGGGCCTTCATGTTAAGCAAAGCAAGCCAGGTTCACATGAGTTCTCTCATGGGTTCTTGCTAAGCCTAAAAGATAAATGTGCATGTAAATGCACAAAGAAATATGGAGACATAAAACATGTTTATAATATATGAACATTTCATAAACATGTAATAGTAGGACTGTTGGAGAGGATTAGATATAGAAAAGCAAAGATTAGAGGATGAATAATATCTAAGTCTACTTCATCTGTGGATAAAGAGAGCAAAATGGGGCTCACTGAAGTCTGCAATAATAGGGTAATAGGGTTAGAGAATGTGACAACAAGTGAGAGGTGCAATCCCATCAGGGTAGTATATATGCAAAAATATCAGGTTAAAGCCCATTTGAATATTAGCATACACTAAGAATTTAAATGACAGTAATAGAAATGGTAATTATAAGTGGGAGAGGGGAGGGTGAATGGAGAGGGTGAATGAGAAAATATGATGGAAATACTTTATGTACATGTTTGACAATGGAACAATGACACAGAGATTGATTTGGGAAGGGAGCAAGGAGGGACAGTGATGCAGGGAGAGAGTCAATCAAGGTCCACTGTTTGCAGTGATGGATCCACCCAAATAAAACCTCCTGTACAACTAATTGATGCCAATATTCAAGAAATGCTGAAAAATATTTTAAAGATCTGTGCTGTAACCAAGCTTAGTGGCTCAGGCCTGTAATCCTAGTTACTCAATAGGCTGAGATCTGAGGATCACAGTTCAAAGCCAGCCTGGGCATGAAAGTCCAGGAGACTCTTATCTCCAATAAACCACTCAGAAAACAGAAGTGGTGCTGTGGCTCAAATGGTAGAGCAATACCCTTGAAAGGAAGAGTTAGGGACAACACCCAGGCCAAGAGTTTAAACCCCACAATCGACAAAAAAAAAAAATTTGTACTGTACACAATGGAGTAAAACACCTATCAGTGTAACACTTCTCTATAGTAGGCATCATAAGTATCCCAAGATGATCTGAATATATAGTAGGATGAGTAGATGTTAAACGTAAATACTGCATAACATTTTCATTTAAGTACATGCTAAATTTCTATCCACAGCTGGTCCAGAATACTGAACTAAACAACTCTTCCACTGGTTTCCCAGACAAGAAACACATGGGGACATCTTGGCTTCCATTAACAGAGAGGTTTTGCTCTGGGCTATACCACAGGGGTAAGATTGTGTACCTTGGAAGGAGTAGTAAACTCCACCATTCACAGCAGGGTAGACACAAATTTCATGGTAGTGTGATCTTTTTGAGAAAGGAAACATTCCCTTTTCCACTGACTTAGTTTAGACTTCATGACTATCCTAGGCTATACATATTACATACTGTATTAACTATTCAAATGGTAGTATTGTTAGCCAAGATTACAAGAAAAAAGGATTATACTCTAAGTTCGAGGAGTGACAGATCTTTAGTTCTTTCTTACACACCAAATTCCACAACTATTCCTTAAGGCTACCTTAGATAACCTATGTTAAAGCACAATGGTATTGGGAAAGGAAACATTTGATTTCCATGAAACATTACTTGTTATTATAGTCAGAAAAGAACATCTTATACTAAATGAATAAATACAAAATTTTCTAAATGTGGAATAGGTGGAAATATACATATATAAATATATGTGTAAGGTCTGCACAGGGATACCTCCCTACCTCTTGGCTAAGTCTCTGCCCAGTATCTGCTACCTAGATAACTGGCAGACCTGAAAGCACTCACCTTCCCCTCCTGCTAGGTCACAATCTGGGCCACCTCTGGTCAGATTTCTCCCATCTGAACTTAGGAGGGTCCTAGACCTTGAGGTCACATCCTGATCCCACACCTTTCCCCCACCTGGCCACACCTCTTCCTGTCTCTGGCCTAGATAAGCCCTGGCCCAGGAACGTTTGCCACCCACCTCTTTCCTTTTCACCCATGCCTCTCTGCCAAGCCCAGCCAGGGCAGCAGTTAGGTAAATAAACTTCTACTCCTGCCTAAATATTTCATGGTATTCTCTTCATCAGCTACTTAATGAAACCTCCCTATTTAGTATACCTTTCAATAAGCCTGTGTGATGTGTGTGTGTGGATGATAGATGGTGAGATAGGAAGATGCAGAGATAAAATGATAGAGATGTACAATAGATGTACTTGGATGGTAGCGATATAATCGCTGTTCTTGGTAGGTAGCAAGCTGAGCTATGACCCAAGTAGGCACATGACTTATCCTACTCTGCCATCTGCCGACAAAGCTTTATAACTGCAACTGACTTCAGAACACGTTCTTTGGTCAATGTGAGATATATCATTTCTTTCTTTTTAATACTTTATAGAATGTTTAATTATATATAAACACAGTACATAGTACAATAACCCCCAATGTCAACAATTAACATTTTGCAACCTCGTTTTGCCTACCTGTTTGATCCAAATTGACTCTAAAACCCTACACACACACACACACACACACACACACACACACACACACACACAGAGAATTTAAGCCAATTATCACTATTTTGTTAACTGATGATGATTTTTTCAATAACAGCCATACCACTTGACGCTTAAAAGTAATTCCCATCTAGTAGCATCTCATTCTTGTAATTCTAAATGCTCAGGAAGCTGAGATACAGCCCAGGCAGGAAAATCAATGGAACTATTATCTCCAATTAACTGTCAAAAAGCCAGAAGTGAAGCTGTGGCTTAACTGCTAGTACACTAACCAGTTCTAGCCTTTCCTATTATCTAGTACCCATTTCTACTCAAACTACCTTCATTGTATTCAAGGTTGTTTTCATACTTACAGTTGTTTAAATCAAGTCCCAGACATAATTAAATAAATAAATGTATAAGTTTTAACAAAGTCTTAAAAATGACTATATATATATTTTTTCCAGGGCTGAGAACTGAACCCAGGGCCTTGCACGCGCCAGGTAGGCGCCCTTCCACTGGGCTAAACCCCCACCCCAATGACTATATATTTTATATATTTACAGGAAATATCAAAAGAGATGTGTGTGTGTCTGTGTGTCTGTGTGTGTGTGTGTGTGTGTGTGTGTGTGTGTGTGTGTGTGTGTACGGATACTGCATCTTGAACTCTGGACTTGAGAACTCTCTCATAGCTTATTTCATTCAAGGAAAGTGCTCTACTACTTGAGTCACAGCTCTAGTTCTACCTTTTGGGGATTAAATGGATATTAGATTCTCACAGACATTCCTACCTGGAAGGGCTTCCAACCACAATTCTCAGACCTCTGCCTTGTAAGTAGCAAGGATTACTGGTTGAGCCACCAGCACCCAACTGAAAAGCTTTTATATAAGAAAGAATTTAGAATGCCCACCTTGGGTTTACTGATATATTTTCAGGAGGTAAATCTCATTAGATTTCAGATAGCAATAGGGAAATATTATTAGGATGACTTTGTCTTTTGTCTTCTTTACACTAAAATACCCATGTTAATGACATACTACAATAGGAATTCAACATATAGTAAATCTAAGATCCTCACTTTCTTCCTACAACAATATTAGACTGAGGTGCCCAAGGATAAACTAAAGAGAAAATTGACCAAAGATGAAGAAATCTAATGGAAAATGCTGTCACACATTTTTAGTGATTAAATTGCATAATTCAAAAATTATTTTTAAAAGAAAGTATGACTGAAAGACCTGAAAAAAAGAACAGGATGTGAGGAGGCAGAATAGGGATGTATGTTTGTTTGAAATTGACCACAGAAGTTCATTCAGCTGGTGAACAAGGTGCAGGGACAGAAGAAATAAACTGGGTATTTGGCCTCTGTGTTTGAGTTTTGGAAACAAGTTATCATGGACTTAATATTGGGAAAGAAACGAATCCAGGAAATGATTGGGTTTAAAATTGAGAAGTAAATGAGACCAAAAAAATGAGGAATAGGATGAAAACAGCAGCCATCAGGATTAAAGGAAGGGAAGAGAAGAATTGATCTCTCCAGAAGAACTAGACCCACCAGCATCAATGGCCCATGCCTGTAATCCTAGCTACTCAGAAGGCTAAGATCTGAGGATTGCAATTCTAAGACACCCAACCTTCAAGAAAGTACATGAAATTCATATTTTCAATTAAGCAACAATTAAGCTTTTTTTTCAAAAAAAGCAAATGTTTGACTCAAGCAATAGAGCACTAGCCTTCAACAAAAGAAAGGAAAATAAAAGAAAAGAAGAAAAGAAGAAAAGGAAAGAAAAGAAAAAGCACCTAAGGAATACCACCCAGTCCCTGAGTTCAAGCCTATGGAATGGCACTCACATGCACACACACACACACACACACACACACACACACACACACACAGCTACAACTATCTCTAAAGAGTAAAGACTAACTTCATGGCATCAGCCATTTGAACATGAGAAATATTCAGATACCTGTAATACAAGAACTCCTAACAATGTCTCTCAGACAATCTTACCATATTTTGCTACAACTATCTCCCTCAAAGAAAGATCCAGAAGCCAAAGCACCTGAAAGATTTCCTGGTCCCTGCAAACCCTACCAGGGCTCAATGGAGAAATTATCCCTCTCACACAGGGAGGAAGGATGCCAGTTCAGGGCTCTGTGAGAAGGCAGCTGTGCACACAGCAAGGCTCACTGACCCATGGCCTGGACAGGAGGTTTGTGATCAAGGCTGAAGCACTGTGAAAGGGAAGTTATAATTCTGTTGGCAATAATAATCTGCCACATCTTCAGCCTGCATGCTGCTGATAGCGAGAGTGTAGTCTGCCCCAGACCTACTCTTAATGGATTCCAGATGGCTGAGTGGACACACAATATATGAACAGCTTAGGATCTTCTCCCATTTCTGCTGATGCCAAGGCACATATTTCTCATTATCCTTGCTCCATAACAGACTCTGACTGGGCTTGCAGTTGATGGTGACCCTCTCTCCTGCAGACACAGCCTTGGAGACTGAGTAACCACAATGTTCCTACAAACACCCACAATCAGGAAGGTACACTGATAATAACTATGTACACACAGACTTTATAACATGGATATAGTGAAATTGTTCATCAAAATCAGCATTGTAATATTATTTCAGCATATTTATCTCTACACAGATATTAGTCTATAAATGGGAAGGCAGAAGAACTTTTATGGCAACATTTTCAAATATCTCACCAAACATCCAAAGTAGCAGGAGCACAAGGACTTGGATCTGTGCCACCATCTTGCTGTCCCTGTCCACCTGATGCAGCTTAGTTCCTACTTCAAAAGACTCATTTATCAAAGCTGAGAAACAGCCTGGAGGGGCCTAGGCAAAGCAATCAGCATAAGCAGTAGCAATTCACCTGAGCAGTGGATGGTGAAATCATCTGATGTAAATCAACAACCAAAAAGTGCAGAAACTGAAGTGTAACTATGCAACTAGAAAGTAAGGTCAACCTAGAAGCTCTAAGAAGAATCTTAATGAACTAAACTACAAACCACTAATGTTACAGTACTAGAGCTTCAGTTTTAATTGAAAATATTGGCTGATATATCCATGAGACTCAATCTCCAAAAAAACCAGCATAACACAGAATCAGAGGCCTCCCAAGTCTGAATTCCTGATTTCAAACCAAGTATTGCCCAAAAGGGAAAGGGAGAAAGGGATTTTTTGTTTGTTTTGATTGTAAAGATACTATACAGAGGAAGTGGCGCTGTGGCTCAATTGGTAGAATGCTTGCCTTGAGCCGAAGAGGTGAAGGACAGTGCCCAGTTCCAGAGTTCAAACCCCACAACTGACAAAAAAAACCAGATACTGTAACAAGGGGTTACAGTTTCATGAGTACATTTATTATTGATCATTGTTACACACCTTTGCTGTTTACCTACTATCCCTTTCCTCCCCAACACCCTGACTCCTCCCTCCCTGTCCCTCCCTCCCCCCAAAGTGGTAAAGTTCATTTTCAACATAGTGTCTTGTACATCTCATTGTCACAATGGGTCAACCTTTATCCTTGTTTCAGCATTTTGTTATCCCCTTCCCTTCCCCAAAATAGATAAATGTATATACAAGATGCAGGGTACCAAAATCAAATATAATGACAACAGGAGTTATACCATAGGAGGAAGATCATACAAAATAAACACAAAAAATCACATAGTACATTAAAAACAACAGCAACAAAGAAAACAACTCTTGTTTCCATAGCTTGGAGTTCATTTTGCTTAATATCATCTTATATGGTCATATTACATAGCTTTTGACCTTTTCTGCTTGTCTAGTAAGATTATCCTAGATATATAAATAATTATTGCAAAAAAAGAAAACCATGGGACTTATGTTTCTTTGTGTCTGCTTTACTTCACTTAATATAATTTTTCCAAGCCTTTCCATTGCCTAACAAATGGGGTGGTGTCATTCTTCCTGATGGTGGCACAGAATTCCTATATATATATATATATATATATATATATATATATATATATATATATACACATATTCTTGAACCATTCATCTACTGAGGGGCATCTGGGTTGGTTCCTTCTCTTAGCTACGGTGAATAATGCTGTAATAAATATAGTTGTGCTGCTGGGAGGGAGGTTTTATGAATCTGACATAACTGGAAATAAGTATGACAGAATGTGCACAGAACTAGTTTGTAGTCTCAGGAACTTTGAATTCACAACTGAAAGTAAAATTCCCACCTTTGTATTTGTTTTAAACTGGGCAAATTAATTCTTTAGCTGAAGCAGAAAATTCTTGTATTCCTCCCTGCCAAGATCTCTCCACATTAGCATCACAGAGTTTAACTTGTTAAGTCCAAGAAAAAGGTCTTGCTAAGCTTTCCTTCTAACATGCTTTGTCCACTTGGAAACTACTGGAGTACAGAAAGAATGTCATTGCCCTATTTGTTAGAAAATGGAAAGACTTGGAAAAAATTATATTAAGTGAAGTAAGCCAGGTACTAAGAAACATAGGTCCCATGGTTTCCCTTATTTGCAATAACTAGTATATATCTGAGACAAGCAGAAAAGGTCAGATAAGATGATGTTAAGCAAAATGAACCCAAGATAAGGACAAAAGTGGTTTGTTATTTCTTGCTCTTGTTTCTAACATATTTATAAGTTACCACATGATTTTTTTGTTGTTTGTATGTCCCTACCCCCCACAGTATAATACCTGGTTTCACTGTATTTGATGTTGGTATAATTTGTGAAACAGAAGGGAAAAATTGTTTAAATAGAGATAGAGGTTGACCCATTGCAACAATGAGATGTACAAGACGCTATATGGAAAAACTAACTTTACCATTTAAGAGGGAGTGGGGAGGGATGGTATCTTGTGAAGGGAGTGTAGTTGTGGAGATGAGGGAAGGGATGGTTGGGTGAAAACAATATAACACAATATAAAACTTATATTCAAAAAAGAAGCTATCGGTGTAGCTCAACTCTGCTGTCAACGGTAGAAAACTGAAGGGCCATACTTGGGAGGGCCAAGTTGTTTATCATCTCAGCTAGGAAGGAGCCAACAGGTAACTGTTCCCCTCTAAGAGATGAATTCCCACACCTCAACTGCATTGGGTCTTCTTACTGTCTTAGAGAGGTTGGTCCAAATGCCCCTTCCCTCCCACTTCTGCAACAATACATCCACAATGTCCACATGGCTTCCTACTGCCCACTGAGGCCGACAGCAAGGAATTTGTTTGTACTTGCTTCCGCTCAATACAGAAATCATTTGACACAACTAAGATGCCTCTTTCCATGCCCTTTAAGTCTTGCCACATTGCTGCACCCAACATACAATTTGCATAGTGCTACCTAGGGAGGAGCCTCCTTGTTAAGTTTAACTTCTCACCCTGAGTTCACTAATCAGGACTCCTCATTTCAGTCTCTCAAGATGAGATGCCCTGCTGAGCTCCTGGGGCTGCTGATGCTCTGGATCCCTGGTAAAGGCACAAAGATACAAAGGATAGGAGGAAGGAGATGGGATGTGAGGGTGAGGCCTAGGGGACATTACTGTTACTGTTGTGTGTCCTATCCATATGTGAGATGTGTGGATTTCATACTTCAGGACAGCAGGTGCTGTTTAGATCTGTGAGGGGAGGAAGATTCCAGAGCATCTGGACCTAGATTATACTAAAAATAGAGTGAAATGGTATGAGCAATGCCCTTTGGGTGAAAATCTTACCTCCTGTCTGAAAAATGAATATTTAAATTGTAAATCAAAATTCCAACAGTATTCTAGACTATAATGTGCAAGAGGAACAATATGAAACCTGCTGAAAAATTGTATACATGACCTGGCATTGTCTTTAATTTTTAGGATCTTGTGGAGACATCGTGATGACACAGACTCCACTCTCCCTGTCCATCAAACCTGAAGAGCCAGCCTCCATCTCCTGCAAGTCCAGTGAGAGCCTCCTGCATAGCAATGGAAACACATACTTGCATTGGTACCTGCAGAAGCCAGGCCAGTCTCCACAACTCCTGATCTATAGGGTTTCCAACCGATTTACTGGGGTCCCAGACAGATTCAGTGGCAGTGGGTCAGGCACAGATTTCACACTGAAAATCAGCAAGGTGAAGCCTGAGGATGCAGGAGTTTATTACTGTGGGCATAATAAAAACGACCCTAACACGGTGCTACAGTCCAGAGCAAAAACCTCCCTGCATGGCGCAGCCCAGCTGTGCCCATGTGCTGATTGCTTGGGGACCAGCAGAGCAGATTCTCTGAGTCTGTGTGCAAGGACAAGGTTGGGGACCTCAGAGCCACAAACTGCAGCTGAAGTCTCTGTCCCATGGGGCCTCAGCTAACCTCAACAAAGCCCCATTCATGGTCAGATGCAACACACTCCCCATAGCATTTGTCACAAAAAATGTACACATGCTGTATGGTACTTCTAAGTAGACAAGACTAATTCAAAGGAAGGATCCAGAAAGGTTGAAGACCTCTTTTCTTAGGAAGATTTTCTCACAGAAAAAGGAAGGTGGTATAGATGACTTCTAGAGGGGACTTTGTGCCTTGCCAATTCAGTTTTTTTTCAAATTTAAATAGACACTAAATCACAAATACACACAAATGACTTTACTTGGGGAAAACAAGAGAAGGAAAATCATGAAAATGGCTTATAATTGTTGCCCTTAAACTTAGAGTTCTCATTATTTCAGGATCCAGTGGGGATAATGCAACACTATAGACTCTGGTCTTCCTATCCATCACCCCTGGAGGACTGGCATCTCAGAGAGGTATACCAGCTACGCTGGAGACTGAGAATAAGAGGACTGCAGTTAAAGTCCAACCCAGGCAAAAGGTTAGCAAGACTCCATCTGAGCAAACAAACTGTCTGGATGGCACACATCAGTAGTTTCAGCTATGCCCCGAGCTAAGGGTAGGAGGATCTCCAACAAGTCTGAGCAATAATGAAAGACTTTACCTAAAAAGAACTTGACCATAGCTTGGATCAAATGGTAGAGTGTCCAGCAAGCAGCAGGCCCTGAGATCAAAACTCAGTACCAAAGAGGAGGAAAAGACAAGAGAAGTGAAGACATCCCTTCTGGATGGTACTTTCCATCACTGCACATTCCATGGGAAGGTTTGCCTACCACCAACTCTTCTGAACTGTCACTGACTGGCACCTTAGATACAATCACAGGTTACCAATCCATCATGAGGGCACAAGCAAGCTTGAAAAAGGTGTCTGTGCCCTCATCATACACTGTGGATGACATGTTAGAGAATGACATGCATGACAGACATTGCAGCCCTGAAGGCTAGGAGTACCACAGAAGGCAAAACTCAAGATGGGAAGGTCAGCAGGGAATGCTCTCAAGACTTAGGACCCAAGCACATCAAAATAGCATCAGTGCCTTGTACAAGGGAGAGGACCCACAAGGTTGAAGAGAATAGAAAACGGTGAAGAAGAAAATACTATTTGCAAAACAAATAAAATAAAAATCATAGCTTCCACTGTTATATGAGTGGTGCTGATAGAAAGATTGTGTTTCCTCAATTAGAAAGGAAGATATGGAGACATGCACGCTGGAATGTGTAAAGGAATAGTTGCTTGTAAACTAACACTAGCTGCCCACACAACATCTAGAAAATCTTGTGGGATTTAAGCTGAGTAAGTGGCCAAGGGGGATGACTTGGACCTCTAATCCTAGACTTTGGAGATGGTGATCAGGAGAATCATGATTCAAGCACAGGACAGGCAAAACGTTCATTCTCACCAGCAATTTATAAGAGATTATTGTTGCTGCTGCTCTTCTTGATGGTGGCTTGTTCTAAGTGGTTGAATATAGCCAAGGCCCTTGTGGAACAGAGACCTCAGCTGCAGCTTGATATTGTGAGTTCCCCAAGCTTGTCCTCACAAACAGGCTCAGAGCATCTGCTCTACTGGTCCCCAGACAAAAGCACATGGGGACAGCATGGCCACCATTCACAGAGAGGTTTTGCCCTGGGCAGTACCACAGGCGTAAGATATTTTGTACCTTGGAAGCAGTAGTAAACTCAGCATCCACAGAGGGGTAGACATTGCTGATTTCCAGAATGAAATCTGTGCCTGACCTGTGTGAGACTCAGAGGCCTTTGGGAAGTCTTATAATTCATTTCTGTAGAACCTGGCCTGGCTTAACATGAAATTGTGTCATTTGCCAGAAGTGAGTAAATCTGGGGCCTTCATGTTAAGCAAAGCAAGCCAGGTTCACATGCTTTCTCTCATGGGTGCTTGCTTAGCCTAAAAGATAAATGTGCATGTAAATGCACAAAGAAATATGGGAGACATATAACATGTTTATCATATATGAACATAAGTAATAAACGTAATATTAGGACTGTTGGAGAGGATTAGATATGGAAAAGCAAAGAGTAAAGGATGAACAATATCTAAATCTACTTCATCTGTGGATAAAGAGAGCAAAATGGGGCTCACTGAAGTCTGCAATATTAGGGTAGTAGGGCTAGGGAATGTAACAAGTGAGAGGTGCAATCCCATCAGGGTAGTATATATGCAAAAATATCAGGTTAAAGCCCATTTGAATATTTGCATACACTAAGAATTTAAATGACAGTAATAGAAATAGTAATTACAAGTAGAAGAGGGGAGGGTGAATGGAGAGAGAGAATGAAAGTAAATATTATGGAAATAGTTTGTGTACATGTTTGACAATGGAACAATGACACGGAGATTGATCTGGAAGGGACAGTGATGGAGGGAGAGAGTCTATCAAGGTCCACTGCTTGCAGTGATGGATCCACCCAAATAAAACCACCTGTACAACTAAAAGATGTCAATTTTTAAGGAATGTTGAAAAATGATTTAAAGATCTGTACTGTAGCCGGGTAGTGGCTCACAACTGTAATCCTACCTACTCAGGAGGCTGAGATCTGAGAATCACAATTGAAAGCCAGCCCAAGCAGGAAAAGCCAGGAGACTCTTATCTCCAATAAACCACTCAGAAAATGGAAGTGGTGCTGTGGCTCAAGTGATAGACCACTAGCCTTGAGCTGAAGAGTTGAGGGACAGCACCCAGACCCAGAGTTCAAGCCCCATGACTGAAAAAAAAAATCTGTACTGTACGCAATGGAGTACAACACCTATTAGTGTAATACTTCTCTAAGTAGGTGTCATAAGTATTCCAAGATGTCTGAATACATAGTAGAATGAGTATATGTTAAATGTAAATACTACATAACATTTTTTAAATTTTAATTTAATTTAATTTAATTTGTGAACATACTGTACAGAGGGGTTCCAATTACATGGGCAGGTTAATGTGTACATTTCTTACCAAGCATTGCAGCCTCCTCCTTTGGTTTACCCTTCACATCCCTTCCCAGCCTCCCCCCTCCCCTGCAATCCCAATCCTTCTCCTTCTCCCCCCTTAACCCCCCCCCTGCACCGACATTGTAAAGCTCCTTTTGGACATGACAACTTGTACTTCTCATTGTTGCAACAGGTCCACCTGTATCCTTAAACAACAGGTTTTCCCCATCTCCTCCACAAGTTATACTGACATCAAATATAGTGAAAGCAGGGGTTATACTGTGGGGGAGGGACATACAAAGCAAC